GAACCACAGCCACGCATGCAAACAACAAGAAGCACTCAGTACCAGTCAATGGATGGCAAGTGGCTCCATCCTCACACACAGTTTTGAAGAAAAGCTTCAAGGTTCCACCTCCTACGATGATCAGCTGTGCGCAAGCACCATTTGATTGATAGATAACTGGGAACATTGCTAGAATCATTCCTAACTTTTTACCTGAAAAAGAATGGAAACTATCCATTTATCTTTGTGGGCTTCTATTGAAACAAAAATTCTTCACACCCAAGCAATGAATTTTATACTCCTCTTTGATGACTAAAGAGGACAAGGCCCTCTATAAATAACATATAGAGGGATAGTTTTGAAATGTCTTAATCTATATGGCTAGCAAATGTTGTAGCCTTCAAATTATGATAGGAGATTAAATTTCAGAGTGTGTGCATAGAACTCTTCTTTAGTTTAATTGTTATATGAGTTTGATGTACAGTTTACTAACCGAAGGCCGTTACTGCAAGATGGAGGTATCTACTATTACGAAATCCATTTTCAGATTCGTGTAGATGTACGAGAAGCCACTTGGTGTAGATCTGCCACACAAATGCTAGTGAGAAGCATATAATTCCCCATGCCCTGCAACCATTGAGAAAAGTTACTGGTGTTAGTTATGAATGAATCATCTACATTTCAAACTGAATATCTTATACTTTTGTCTACGGTAAACCAGAAAAAACAAGTGTGAAAAATCACTGGCTTGAAGCAAGTAAAGGGTTGTTGCTTACCATCCAAGAGTGGCAAATGCGAGAGGTAGTAAAAGGGCTTGAGTTCCTATTCCTGAACAGAGTAAATGGAAGGTAGCATAGTAGGTATTGCCATTCCTCGACTCAGTGACGGGTAGCCACGCGTCCTGTGGATTGAGCTCACTACCTTCCCAATTTGTACTTGTAATATCTAGGTTTGAGGGGCTTCTTGTGTCGGGAAAAACTTGAGCTGAGGCTGAGCTTCTTGTGGTGTAAGTAGTAATTTCAACAATAACTTCTCCGATGGGATCAGCTGCCATATTTCTTGTTGATGTGAATTATAATACCCAAGCTAGCTAACCTGCTTATATATACGCGTTGGTGCATGCACCTAGCCATGCATGTCTTCGAAGCTGGGAGTACGTTTCCTAATTGATATGGGAGTACATGTAGCTGCTGACGTGTTGGTAATATGTGGTCAATATTGACTCAACGGTTTTGTTTTATGCTGAAAGGTACTGTCGTACTTCATCGAAACTGGGAAACGGCTATAGCCGCTATACTAGCTTGGTGCATTGAGCTAGCCATACCCCTTCCACCTTTGCAAATGTATAGTCGTAATATTTATTTTGGTTCGACACGTAATCATATATGAAATAGCCGGCAACATAAATTTAGCAACACTTCTTTAAGTGATATGTCAGTGGTGCATTTAGTAAAGTATCATTATATCTATATGTCAAACTCTAAAGTCTTAAAACATAAGCAATTTTGTTGAATCTTGTTAAAACACTTATTAACACTTGATGGTATTTTAGTAGAGGAGTCGAATTTGGTTACAACGAGCTCTCTGCATATTGAAGATTTTTTTCAGTTTTTTTTTTTTTAAATTTTAATTGGTTAATTTAAACACTTGGTATTATATCCTAAAAAATTAGAGGAAGTTATAATAACGGTCTCTAATTTTTAACTTAATTGGAGTAATGATCTATCAATTAAAAATTCATGACCATTGATCCCTTAACTCATCAAAACGTCCAGCTATGGTCATTTCCATCAACTCGGTTAGAAATCCCGTCAAAATAAGTCATGTGCCATGCACGTTAGTCTGAATGAAGGAGAAAATATGGAAAACCAAATGAGAAAATTTGTAACAATGGTCCCTCAACTTTAACCCTATGGAAGAAATGGTCCCTCAACTTTAACTCAATTGTAGCAATGATCTTTCAAATTTAACTCAATTGTAGCAACGCAACTCATTTTGGTGGTGCTTCTGATGGAGTTGACGAAAAGGACAATAGCTACACGTTTTGATGAGTTAAGGAACAAATAGTTATGAATTTTTAATTAAGAGATTATTGCTCCATTTGAGTTAAAATTAAGGAATCATAGATACAATTGCTACTAAAAAATTGTGACGTTAAAATATGTTTTGGAGTTCAGGATGGAGTTCGGGAACAAGACTCCCTACTGAACTTTTTTTTTAATTTTTTATTTTTTATTAAATTCGTTATGTGATCTAAGCAATGATCTAGTACTCCATTAAGGGATTAGGCGAAGAGTTCTTAAATTTGTCATAACCTGTACTTTATAAAATATTTTTGGTTTCTGTCTTTTGATTAAACACTAGCCATCATGCATTCCATGAAGCATTTTTTGAATCACGGCGTGCTATGCATGATTTATACATTTTAAATGTATTTATATGCGTATTAACAAAAGAAAAATCAAATATTTGAAGTAAATGAATAATCTTAAATCATGCTAGAAGAAACCTCTCATAAACCAATTAAAGCAGTTGAATTCACATAATAAAATCGGTCTCTATAGATTTTACATTAAAAATAAAGAAAATAATATTCAATAAACAATTGATTGAATCACATTATTGCTAGTCTATTGTGAGGCTAAGTCCACCCACTCCCCCTTAGTGTAGATAATATTGTTTGTTAAAAAAAAAAAAATTTGTTTGACAACTAATTTAATTACATTATTATCCGCGTCCAAAAAACTTTTTTTATAACTGGCATTACACGCCTCTTAAGATGTTTTGAACGTATTTAAAAATAGAGAAAATAATATTTTATGAACATCTGATTGAATCACATTATTACTAACATATTGTAACTTGTAAGGCACTAATTTAAAAATAAAATAAAATGTACTAATTTATCACCAGCACTACGCGCCTTTTAAGATGGTTTGAACACAATATTCATGATTTTTCTTATTTTTTATTATATTTTTCTTTCTCCTTCACGTGGGCACCATTAACTTTCACTCATCCTTCCATTTTTTTATTCTTTTCTCTCTTCCCACTTATATTTATATTATATTTTATGATGACCAAATACCAAATTACTCATGCATTATTTGATATATTTTTGGTTGAGGGACAATTTTGTCCTAATATTTTTGTTGAAGCCGTGACACCAAATCAGCACTATTCATTGCCCTATTCACTTTATATATAATAGATAGATATGATTCGATCAGCCTTGCTTCATGCATGATAATTAGACACTTCAAATAGATTTTATTTCTTAGAAGGAAAACTAAAAATAAGCTATCACAATTTTTTCAAAAACCAACAAGATTAAAGACACAAACAATCCAACCCATTTCTAAAATTCATCCCCTTAATGTAAAGTTTGAGTCTTTCATTGAAAGAAATAATCCAAAAATATGAAATTGATCCACAAATTCACATGAAGTTATGCTATAAAATTCTACCATGCATCGTCGCACTCCGGTTCACTGGACCGTTGGATTTGCATGACTAGATTTTGACAATTCAAAGTCTTAGCTATTCAAACATCCCATACATTGGTAGCCTTATTACATTTTGGTTGCAACTGCGACTGCTATTACTATTTGAGAGTAAAGGTAGAAAGCTCATGGTCAAAGTTAGTAGTGCTCTCGTAAACAATTGTACTTAATGGCAACGGGTTTGCTGTCCCCAAATAGCTGTCTCATTTCGTGTCACTTTTGTTAATTTTTTTGATCCATGTTCTTACACCTAATAGAGAATTGATGCTGTTAAAATCCCATTAAGTCCTATATTAGGGTATATTGAAAAAAAGAAAGAATAATCCAGTAAAGTCCTCTCGCCTTCTAAAATCACTGAGCAATCTCCTCTAAGGGTAAGCACGGTGCGGTTTGGCTTAGTTCCAGACTTAAATCAGAATCGGAACTGAAAAATATCAACGGTTTGGTTTGCTATTTATTACTAAAATCATATAGTTCGGTTCACACCAATTCCGATTTGGTTTATGTCGGTTTACTGTTCCGAATACCAAATCAAAATGGTTGTGTGTGTGTGTTTTTTTTTGTTGCCACATCTTTTGGAAATGTGTAAAGAAACTCTAATGCATTTCCAAGTCAGATGCATGCATCCTTAAACCTGCTTTCAGCTAGGCTATGTCCTGTGGCAAACCCACAACCTTTAGGTCACAATGAATCAACCGAAGTGCAATGGAGCAGTAGGCTACAAGAAGTTAATGAAACTTTAATATTAAGTTCCATGCGTTTATTTAAGGCCAAGATTAATAGAAAAATTAATTTAACAATAAAAAGTCAAAAGATAACACAAAAGAAGATTCAGTGTAGGCAACTAGCATGAAACAAGCAGATTTTTGTAACCACATGTCCCTTCACGAATTTTAGAAACTAGGTAGTTTTAAATTGGTTCGACTCCTGTAGTTTATGGTTGGTTCAATTCCAATGCGAGTAATAATTCCTATAGGTGGTGTGCAAATGGTTGGTACGAAATCACAGGGGTAAGAAAATATAGAGACTGCTTTTAGAAGAAGAAATGAACTAGGTATTAGGGCTGGGCACGGGCCAGGCCGGGCCCAATTTTGAAGGGACCGGACCGGACCTAGGTTCAAAGAGAACGGGGCGGGCCGGGCCGGGGATTACATTTTCTAATATAAGAACCGGACATTACCCGGCCCGGTTGAAACGGGCCGGTTCGAGCCGGGTCCACGGGTCCTTTATTTTTTTTTTTTGGTTTGAAAAAAAAAAAAAAATTTGTACGGATTGCAGATTGCAATCTGCACAAAAACTGCACAGATTGCAAACTGCACAAAACTGCACAGATTGCCTCTCTTCAAATACTCGAAACCAATAAACTATGGTAATCAAATACTCTTAAATTTCTGCAAATTTAAATACCAAACAACTTAAAATCTACAATCTATAAGCAGATCCATAAAATTCAAAACCAATAAACAGTATTGGAAAAATCAACATTTAGAGTCCTCCAGGAATTAGAGGCAGGGGAAAGGGATACAAAGAGGTTTACCTCCAGTTCAACCGCGCCGCCGTGTCCTCCAGTTCCAGCAGCGCCTGCTGCTCTCTCGGTGCCCCTTCGATAGTGCTCCCAACGAAAAACGAAAACGGCGTCGGAAACAGGTTTCGTCGCAGGTCCTGCACATCCTTCTCCGGCTTCCCGCCCAACCGATTTGACAACCGAATCACATCCTTCATATACGACTCGACCTCGCTGGCCAACGCCTCCAGGTCCTCCTCGCCGTCGTTCGACGGCCGGTCTTCGAGCCATTGGACCTCCGCCACCAGGTAAGGTTTGGTACGGACGAGGTTAGTGACCCGGAACCGCTCCTGGCCTTTGCAGATGAGGAAGAACCGGTCATCGACGAGGCGCTCGTGCTTGACGACCTCGCCGACGCAGCCAACGTCGGCGGTGCCGGAGACGGCATCATTGTAGATAACCCCGAATCGGAGATCGGTCTGGAGGAGGGAGTGCATCATGATACGGTAGCGGAACTCGAAGATCTGGAGGGGGAGGATGGCGCCGGGGAAGAGGACGAGGGGGAGGGGGAAGATGGAGAGCTCGAGCGAGGTCTGAGACGAGAGAGGAGAGGAGATTTGGGGAGTGGGGTGTCGACTGTGGGAGTCTGACAGGCAGAGTCTGAGACTCTTACTTGAGTGCGATCAGATTAAACCAACGGATCAGATTAAATCTCAAATTTTTGGAAGGTGGAAACGGTTCGGGTCGGGGACCCGTTTCCTCAGCAATTAAGACCCGTCCCGCCCCGCAAATGACATGGACCCGCCCCGTACCCGCCCCGAATCGCTCGGACCCGCCCCTACCCGCGGGTCCAGGCCCCGTTTGCCCAGCCCTACTAGGTATACACCCACATACAACCCACACACCTACACACACACCAATAGCCCCACACCCCACACCCCACCAACCCACACCCCCATAATTGAGGTTTTCCTTCTTCGTGCTAGAATATGTTTAGTATAATGGCACAAGTAAGGGTGTCGAATCCACAGGGACTAATTGGATCTATATAATCACTTGTTTTGCAAGAACTTTTTACTAGAGAAATAAAACTAATCAATGTAGGCAGATTTGTTGTTGTAACTTGAAAGCATAAGGAAATGAAGTAAACACAAATAAATGAATCAACAACTAATAAAATGAGATAGTACCAATGGAGATGAAGCTAGGGATTCGATTTTACCATTGCTAACCCAAGGCCATGTTTGTTAAATCAGTTTATACTCAGTCATCTACCTATTTCTTGAGTTTGTTTCACTTAGATATGATCAACCATATGATGTGTGGATTTGATCAAATGTCTCTAATCATGAGCCTAATTGTGATGTGCAACTTTGGTTTCTAATCAAGAATATGTAGTGCACAAGAAACTTTCACAAAACCAAAGGGAACACTCAGCAGGATGTTTGCAAAACATTCCCTTCATTCATTCACATATCCACCAAGATTATGCATGATGTGTGCTTTAATCTTGGCTAAACAACCTGTGGTTAATTCAAATGATGATCAAGCATTAAAATCAACACACTAAGTCACAATTAAATCGGAGAATGAAACAAGAAATAGATAAATTAAATGAGAATTCTGAATTAACTACATGGCAATCTTGCAAGGCTACATCGAATCCCTAGAGAGAGATTAGTTACACTTCATGTTTACAAAAGGTTTGACATAAAAATATATAACATGAGTGAACATAGGATTAAGAAGAAAGAACCCTTGAAGCAAAACTGATGTTGAAATCCCTTAAGAGTTGCCTTCGGTGTTGGTGCTCCAAGTGTGTTGTAAATGAAGGTGGAGCGGCTAAGGTTGAATGGTTTCTGCAAATGGGAGAGTGTATGGAATGGAATGAAGCCGAGAAGAGATTGTGTAGAAATGGAATGGGAGCTTGCGGCAAAGGGGAAGATTGGATGTGTTTGTGGTGTCTTGTGTATGAAAATGAGATGTGATTTTTGTGTATGAATGCATGGGTTTTTATAGGGGGAATGGGAGAATATGTGGGTGATTGTTTAAGAGTGAATGTGGTTGTTATGATTGAGAGTGCATGTGGATGAAATAATGATGGAAAAAGAGCTAGGTTGTTGGTGTGTGAATGCATGTGTTGAATTTGTGATGCAATGATGAAAGAGTAAGTGCATGTGTGTGTGAATGGTGGTGCAATGATGAAAGAGTAAGTGCATGTGTGTGTGAATGGTGGTGCAATGATGAAATGATGAAGTAGGAAGGTGGAAATGCATGTGTTGAATTGGTGGTGCAATGATGAAAGAGTAAGTGCATGTGTGTGTGAATGGTGGTGCAATGATGAAAGAGTAAGTGCATGTGTGTGTGAATGGTGATGCAATGATGAAATGATGAAGTAGGAAGGTGGAAATGCATGTGGCTAAGGGTTGTTGATTGGGCTAGAGGTTTTGCATGGCTCAAAGGATTGTTTGATTGGGCTAGGCCCTTTGTTTTATGTCCAAAGTGCATACAAGGCTTTCAAATTCGTCCAACACTTTGGCTCCAATCATATGCTATCCATTCCAAGCCCAATTTTGCTCCAAAATGCTCCAAAATGCATCTTTTTGCTTCCTTAGCCATATGAACCTAAAAACACACGAAAATGGCTTAAACTACTAAAACAACTATGAATTAACAACATAGATGCACGAAAACAAGCTAAGTAAGTCGCCTAAATATGCTCCTATCAAATTCCCCCATACTTAGCTTTTGCTAGTCCTCGAGCAAAACAAAATAATAACAAATAAACAAAATGACACTAAACAAGTAAAACACAACCTAAACCTTCCAACAACCGTCTTAGGGATTTCCAATGCACATGACAAGTTAAAAATCATTATTCTCACAGATTTTAGCCATCTTTACACTTAAGTACATTCTTAATCATAGTCACCACATACTAGTTCACATTTAAGCAATTAAAACACATTTCAAATGTAGTAACATGCTTTAGAGAATTTACTCAATTCCTTACTAGAATGCACTCTATTTTCACACAGATTTTCTGACTACACACCCTACACTAGTTATATGTGAGAGATTGACGTAAACATGAAAGACTAGTATCTCACATATGTTATAACAAAGAAAGCATTTTCTGGATTTACAATAATGACATGAATATGATCTCATGAATGGAATGCTACTACTTAGAATGAGAACTAGTGATTCCATAAGCTCATATCAAATCCAAACTCCACATTATTGAACACATAACGATCAAGATAGAAGTCAAAGGGGTGTAACGGGGCTAGGGTATTGGTTAACAATGAAAGGTGAAGGATAAACAAACATTCTTAAAGCAATAGTGAGCAAAGTATTGAATTAGGCACTTAGAATTCCCTTTAGAGCGCGGAAAACAACTTTTAGACTAATAGGGGAAATTCAAACAACTCTTATTTTTCTTTTCTTTTTCATTTTTTTTTCAATTTTTTTTTTTTTTTTTTTTTTTTTAGCCGTGCTTATGGCACAACAACTCTCATCAATAATCCTTCCCCCACACTTATTTTCTGTAACATATTAATCAAAAATGAATTCATTTTCCGTCATGCTTACTATGCTTTAAGAACAAAGGCATGGATGGTCCTATTCTAGGCTAGGTAAGGATAACATGGGTTAACAAAGAACATAGGCTAAACAAGGCTCAAAGGGGTTAAAACTTACAACAAATACGAAATATGGGAAGTAAGGCTATTTGGCTATGGTGGCAACTACACAACTTTATCTTGATATATGTTATGCAATTCAATGCTTTGAATGAAATGGATATAAGTTCTAGCATTTAGTTCTAGCATGATACAATTGCATTCTAAGTAGCAACCAAGCAAGGAATAATGAGATCATGCAACAACTTTAGAAAACAAAGAATCACAGAAAATAACTCTCCAAAGAATGTTTAGGCTCAAGTCTCACAAGGTTGTAGCGTTTGTTTGAGTTCCTTCCTTCAAGCATGTTACAAAAACGAATTTTTCTTTTATGATTGCATGTGAAGTCATACATTATAACCATAACCAAGCATATACCAAGAGTAAATCAAACTTTCATCCATGTTTATAACTCTTTTTAACCGTCATGCAATTACAAACCAAATCCTTATTATTGTGTTGGAAGGTACCCTAAGACACAAACACACAAAAACGACTCAAAACACTCTTTTTAGGCTTTTCAAAACATTTTTTTCAAATTTTTATGTGATTTTCGGAGTTATAAAACAAAACACACTAAAACACTCTAAAACAATTTAAAAACACCTTAAAACAGCAAGGAACAACATTTGAAGTTATGGGTGATAAAATCCCACGAATTTGCATTAACAACATTAGTTACCCCCCCACACTTAAATCAAACATTGTCCTCAATGTTTTAAGCATAGATTCACACAAAACATAAGTAAACACACAAACAACAACTAAACATACTAAACATGGCAGAATGTAATTAACAAAGAGAAGAGTTTAGGGACGCAAATCTGGTTATAGAGTGTAAATTCCATCTTCTCCTTGGTAATTGCATTGAGGCATTGATCATGGTGATTCCACAGGCTTACTCTTGAACTGGGCTGGAGGATTCTTTTGGTCTCCTCCAACTCGTTGATTTTCCTTTGTGCTACTCTTGAACTGGGCAGCAGGAATCTTTTTGGTCTTCCCCAAAGGTCTGAGCTTCCTCCTTTTATCTGTTTCTTTGTTCAATCTCTCCAATTCGTATTGAAGAGGGTTAGAGGATAGCTCAGCATTGCTTGTCTCTACATGCTTCAATGCCCTACTTTCACTTGCCTTACTTACTCCCCTTTGCAGAAGTGGTCCCTTCTCTGGAAGTGTATCAACCGTTGAAGATGACTACTCGAGAGCAACGCTAGGTAAGCAATCAGGAATAGATTCCAGGCAGTTGGCCCCAGAACAGAATACTGACTCCAAGTGCCGGCTGATTGCTTCTTTTACTTTGCCATGCGAGTAAGAACAAAGACAAAGAAAAAGACAGGGAAAGAGCATGATATGTGATACTTTTGCTTTTGACCTTGATGATATGAGATACCTTTGCTTTTGACGAAGCGGTGAATGACTCAGCACACTTCAATCCGCCGTTTCCTCCTGGGTCATCTGTACTCCAGGCATCTGGTATCATCTTTGGGGAAGAAGAAAGAATTGAGTATTTCGAAAGGCTTTGCTGGGAGTGCGCCCTCAGAGGTGAGGAAGAGTTGGGCATTTTCTTCAGGTCTGCCTTGCCATAAAAGACGAAGGTCGACATATATAGAGATAATATCAAGTGGTGGTACTGTTCCATTGTCGACAAACGTTTTGATCCCGCAAATCCGGCTTTTTGAAATAGCAGGCGCCTCTTCGATTTCTGAACGACGCCCCTTCGATTTCTGAGCAGGCGCCCCTTTGCTTTCTGAACGACATGTAGTAGTGCGGATGCGGCTCATTTTGACAAAGCTGCACGCGTTTTCTGAAAAGCAGAGAAAGTGTCGCCGGACTTTGCGCTTGTCGGCTAACGATGTGTAGTTGCGATGATGGCCTCCACGTGTTTTCTGAAAAGAAGAAATCTTTTGACAAAGTTGAACACGTCTTCTGAAAAGCCGAGAAAACGTCGCCAAAATTACGCCGGAAATTCCGGCTTTTTGAATCGGTGGACGCGTCGCCTT